CTCTCTCTCTATATATATATATATATATATATATATATATATATATATATATATATATATATATATATATATATATATATATGGGGGGTAATGGTTAGTGGTTTGTATTGAGGAATCGGACAGCCGAGTTCGAATTCTAGTCGAATCCATTACATTCACTTACGTGAATATATATATATATATATATATATATATATATATATATATATATATATGAGTGTGTGTGTATGTATGTATGTATGTGCGTGTGAAAACAGATGCCTGATACTACCGACCAACTCCGTCACGTCTACTATCCCGAACAAGCTACCCTATCTAAATAATCTTAAAATAATCACAAACATTTCGAGAACTATTATGGATATAATCAGGTCCTCAAACACTAATAGCAATAATATTGATGAAGCAGGTATTTATAAAATAAATTGCTCCTCCCAATATATCGGAGAAACAAGCAGAAATTTAAAACAGATGCATCTCTGAGCACAAAAGAGACCTCACGAATAACAACTTAACTAATGCACTGGTCATATATACAAATAAATTCAACCACAAGTTTTTTATTTTTAAAATACTACATTCATTAAAAAAAGAAGAAAATAACTCAATCAGAACGAAAATCCTTGAGAGTGCTGCCATTGAATATTATCCAAATATTAATCTGCGCCCAGGTTTTTTTCCCCAATATCCTTTTTTTTTAACAGAATTACTACCTTCCCAAACCATATATATATATATATATGTGTGTGTGTGTGTGTGTTTCCTTTAAGACGACTGACAAGGTACTGCGATTAAGCTTTTTATTTAATTTTTCATGTGTTCATACAAATGTTTACAAACCCGGACATGTAGGTAATTTCCTGTTTCGTTTCTGAATAAAAATCACGCGACTTGCTACCAGGTTTTTAAAGACGGACAGATAATCTGGTAATGACAACCATGAGAGCCAGAGAGAATGCACTGGCTGTAAAAGAGTCTTCAAGTCAGCGAAGAGTCGCAAGATACACCAGACCAAGATGAAATGTGGCGGTGATTCAGTGACAAAGAAGCGCGCGGGAGTAGTCAATAATTCGTCGAAGTAGCATGACCAGGATGAACACCACAGTGTCCTGCAGGATCCTTTTTCGTAAGTTGATTCCATTCGCCGAATCATCAAGTGGACTTCCTCTGTGGATAGGACATGGCCAGAGTTAGATGAAAACTTATCAGCAGCCATCCATAGACTCATGGTGGATGTCTAGGAAGGAAAGTTCGCCTGCTTGAGGACATGATCAGTGACTATGGGGCAATAAAGTTTGGATTGAAGGGAATGAAAGCTAAGTCCTTATCGCCAGTGCAGGAAAGTCGGCGGCGGAGAACCATCCGCTCACTGAGGAAAGAGATGCGAAGATCACGAGCAGCAATGCGTGCTGATAAGCAGAGGACAGAGGAAATCAAGCCAATCCTGGACGGTATAAGAACATTGGCAAGTTGAGTAGAGCAGAAAGTCTTGCTAAATAGCGACAGAAGGCTACCAAGGCCCGGAAGTCCTTCACGGAAAATCCTTTTTCCTTCCATAAATCTATGTTTGTCAATAGGAAAAAAAAATTGTTCTTCGCTCTAACAACACACGGTCGCATGCTTCAAGATTAGCAGGAAAAGGTTTTGGAACTCGGTTGGCCTTTTCTGCCTCAGCTGCCATATTCACACAACTATCCAATAAGCGATTATAAACTTTTTTTGATGACTGCAAAATTATTTAATAGGCCAAACTTTAATGTAAAACCAGATTCAAGAATTCGTCAAAAATGTTTCCACATTAAAATCTGCAGAATTGTATTCAAAAGACATCTGAGAATTGTCAAAAGTTATTGCAAATAACGGTGAATTGTAATTGTACTATATTTTTTCCGAATAAAATTGGTAAACTAAAACGAAATTTTTTTACGACTCAACCTAATATATATAAGTAAGTATGCGTGTTGACACCCCCTTATAAATGTATTAATAAAAGGGTATTCGATAACTGTTTATTGTTTTAACTTCTTTAGGAAGACATTCTCAGGTTCATAATTCATTCTTGAAGTCTTTAAGCAAAAGCTGGCACTAGTATAATTAATGGTAACTTTCTATATTAACGTTTCTCATTAGCTTGACCACAGACTGAGCATGCCCAGACATGTGACGAGTAAACACAGACAGCAGGAATTCAAACTTCGATGTCCAAATTTCGACATCGAAGTCTAAATGCATTAAATTTACAGCAATTGGGATTCCAATGTAATCAAAGGTTCATGTTTCGGTAACTGTTTTATGGATTCTAGTTTTAAAATTTATTTCAGATTTTATTGTCGACAAAAAAAAATTCTACACCGTCAAAATTATATGTTATTCACTTGAAAAAGAAAACATGTTTGCAGTTATTCAAATAAGTATAGTATTGAATTTAGCCAATATTGTAAATACAGTATAGCTGTAACCGGGAAAATTTCACTATTCGAATCATCTAATGAATTATAATTCTTAACATAATGATTATAAATTCTGTCTATATTTTTGAGATGAGGCATTATGTACACTATTTACATTATTCGGACTATTATCCTCATCTTTGTCGCAATATTTATTACAACGTTTCGGCCGTTGTCCACTCCGGCCTTCTTCAGGTGGTTGGAATGTCGCTCGCTGGGGTAGACTGTTCTAGTTCCACGTGCCATGTTTAATGGATGTCATTTATCAGTTATCTCCTGTTAATTCTCCTTTCCAAGTTCTCCACTGCCGCGTATTGAACTCACACACTTTATGTCCTCAAGAACAGTGGATAAAGGTGTTCGTTAGATCCAGTGACAGGACCCAAGTTGGGAAATTGAACTATATTGTCGACATGGAAAACACCTCCGGATGAGTGGACAAAACGATTACACAAACGTACTGGATGCAGGGTGATGAATATAACATCAATCAGCTAAGTGGCAAATTTTGCATTAAACATATATTATATTATGTTATATTTTGGATCCTAGTAATATAAAATATTAAAATTGATCCACAAACTGAGCTCAATGTATTTATTATTATAGAGCAAATAAAAATTAGTACACAATAAAATCCCAAATTACCTCACATGGGGCACAGATCTATTTCAACCGATGAAAACTTCGTCATTCTTATTCAACCTCGGTATATAGACTGAGTTCTTGTCGGAATTCGAAATTTAACTGTGACAGCTGTCGAAAAATTAATACAGAATTTATCCATTTCAATGTTTCAGTCAGACGAAAAGCACAAGTAAGTGGTCAGAGGAGGGTGGAAGGTAATAGCCTTAAAGGGAAGAGGTTTTATAAAATTAAACCCGAATATTAACCCTATGGCATTAAATTGGGGTTGTAGGAAGAATTAATTTGGAACTAAGAGAGAAACAAAAAAGGTTTTAAAAAATTATATAGATAAGATTTAAAATACAAGTTTCTACTTAAAATACTCTTCCAAAGATAAATTATACTTAAAAATAAGAGATATTTAATAAATTATTTAATAAATAAAAAATTAGTTATATTTGTTTAATTTATATTAAAATTAAGTAAAATTATATTTAAGATTATATTTAAAATATTAAAATAATTAATAAAATATTGTTATATTAAAGAATAAAAATATTTAAAATATAAAAGTAAAATAAATTATACATTAGAAAAATAACTTTAAAGATAAGTTAAATGCGAAACAAAGTTATATTAAAAAAATAAAAATACAAAAATTTATATTTAGAAAAATTAAAATGTACAGATAAAAAGGTGTAAGTGATAAAAGGAAAGAGAGTTCTTAGAACAGGGGGCAATTATAAGACATAATTAATATGGTGTAAAAATGGAAATATAGAAATTAGAATTAGTTATACAGTCGACATTTGAAGAATTAGAGAATTATAGTTGGTAATAAAGTAAAATCTATATTATGGAAGTTTGGATTTGTTTTTATGTCGACATTTTAAAACTAATTCATTCATTTGCTTCAATAGTTTGCTTTGATTATTTATTTTAATATTCTAATTTTTTCTTCTTAAATATTCATCGCTTCAGACCGAAGGTGTTTTAGAAATTGATTTCATTTCTAAAAAAAAACCCTTTGGTCTGAAGAGATGAATATTTAAATATTTTCATGAAATAAATTATAACCGAGATGAATTTTTTAAGGATTTCTTGACTTATTACACACACACACACACACACACACACACACATATATATATATATATATATATATATATATATATATATATATAATGTATTAACCGTGTTTGTGAAATAAAACATTCCTATAAGTCTAGATACAAACATAAAAAATCCATACTTTCAGTTAAAAGTAAAAATAAAATCATCTTTGATGATGGGTAAATGTATAGCCGAAAGCGCTGAAACTTTCAGAACATTCGGAATGATGTCCAGTAATATGTGGAGACTTAGTCTTCGTTACTTTCCGGGTTTGCTCGTCCTTCATTATTAGGTTAACCGATACCTCAAAGTCTCATTTTGTCATTTACTCTTCAACTGAATATATGGAAATATCGCCTATTATCACCCGACACACTTACCTAACCAGCTGATTAAGCCTGTTTCATTTTGATTGATAAAATATTTTATCTAACATTATTTCTTTTATCTAAAACCACCGACAATTTTTAACAAACTTTCTGTTTTTGAAATTTTGGGCTAATGCATTATTGAATTTTTTTTTTATTGATTGACTTGTTTTCTACGGCTTATCAACCCATTTCAAGTTATTTAAAGCCAGGAAATATGTTTATATTGTAAGGATTTTGTTTGTGGTGGGGGAGATAATAATGAATTGGTGATACAAGTCTTACTAATTAACCCATATCTGGAGGGAGAAGAGGTGGATTTATACCTTTCCCAAAGGGTATTTGCGCGTAAGTGAATGCAACGAACCCAACGGGAATTGGAAATCGGCTCTCCGATTAACAATTACGAGCCGTTATCCGTTACATCGTCCGTACATCCATGCTTACAGCACCTGGTATTCTCAAGCAGTCACCCATCTAGGTACTGACCAGGCTCGACGTTGCTTAACTTCGATGATCGTACGAGTACCGGTGTTTCAGCGTGATGTAATGTGTCCGTAAGCATTGCAAATCATATTTTGAATTTTACTAAAGGAACAATAATTGCTTCGGTTTTATTATATGAAATCGTAACAAATGATTTCAGATCATTTGCCATGTTTAATATTTTATCAATTATTTTAATATATAAATATAATCTTAAATATAATGTTACTTAATTTTAATATAAATTATCTAAATATAACTTATTTTTTATTTATTAAATTAATTTATTAATTATTTTTAGTATAATTTATCTTTGGAAGAGTATTTTAAGTAGGAACTTATATTTTAAATCTTAACCTTATCTATATATATATTTTTAAAACCTTTTTCGTTTCTCTCTTAGTTTCAAATTAATTCTTCATACAACCCCAATTTAATGCTATAATGTTAATAATTGTTTCGGTTTTATCATATGAAATTGTAACAAATGATTTCAGATCATTTGCCATGTTTAACGTAATCTACAGAATGGTCCGAAAGTATTGTCACCCTTACCAAAAAAGTAATGAAAAGAACATGTACTGGATTCAGTTTATTCACTTTCATTGACGCTGTCACACAATCTGAAAAAGAAAATTATATTATGTACGGATGCCAAGACTTTCAGACCACCCTGTACATTGTGTCGATTTGAATTTCAGTCAGTAAAAATCACCAATATTTTTAACCAAATATACTTTGCTTAACAATGTTTCTAAAATCCAAAATTTCCGTTACATCATACACCTTTTAGATTCTATAAATGTTAGGCTTTTGTTAACGATACTTTCATATTGTTTTGATAAGGTTGTTCGGATAAATACTGTACGATTTTAGAATCAACTTTTACATTCACTTACGTGCCAATACCCTTGAGAAAAGGTATGAATCCTCTTCTTCTCACCATTCTGAATAGCAGGACAGACCGGGTTTTATAGCCTTGAATGGCAACGGGTATACCGCAGAAAGAAATGGCAACCTACTGCGGGAAAAATCTGCCTCGTATCGAAAGATACATGATCGCTCGGATTGAGGAATCGGAGAGCTGAGTTCGAATTCCAGTCGAATCCATTACATTCACTTACATGCTAATACCCTTGGGAAGGTACGAATCCTCTTCTTCTTCCCCTCCCCAGCTGTGGATAAATAGCAGGAGAGACCGGGTTCTATAGCCTTGGATGACAACTGGCCTACAGCAGAAAGAAATGGTAACCTACTACGGGGAAAAAATCTGCCTCATCAGTCATGTATCGAAAGATACATGTACGTCTAAGCGTGCATCAAGCATGGCACATAAGTGACTGACTGTTTAAATGAGTCAAAGTAGGAACCCTGAACATCTTTAGCTTTTGGATGTCGAGTTACTGGGTCATTAATGCCTTCACGATAAAACATTAAATGTTTGGTCGCTTAAAAATCTTTGAATCCTGAGCCGACCAAGCATAGAAATGAATACATTATGGAAACCAGTAATAAGGAGGGCCAGAGCAAAGCAATAGTAACAACAAAAAATTGCAATATGAGCTCTGGTAAAAAAAACATGCAATGATAAGAGCAAAACAAATTGCAATATGAGCGCTGGTAAAATGGTTGCTGAAGACATTAGGTTTATAAGTCCCAGAAATTCATACACTGATGTCTTCATAGCACAGTGGATAAAGGCGTTAGTTAGATCCAGTGACAGGACCCAAAGGGTGTGAGTTCAATGCCTGGTTAAGTCAGTGGAGAGGGGAATTAACATGAGATAACTGATAACTGACATCCACTATGTAGAACTAGAACGGTCTACACCAATGAGCGAAATAAAAGATTCAGTTTGACATTCCAACCACCCGAAACTTTGTGATAAATACGGAAACAAAGTTGAGGACGCTAGTCCGAACAATGTAAATAGTGTACATAATACCTCATCTCGGAAATATAGGGGAGCGATCAGTGACACATGGTGTAAGATGCAAAGTCTCGTACCCCAAGTCGGTGAGCTTCTGTAGGGTCATACTGGCCGAGCACGAGCAGAACCGAACCTCGTCGATTAACTGGTACCGGTCGCATTTTGCTTGACTGAATCTGCATTTCATCCAATTGCTTGTAGTAAACTTCAGCATTGATGCTCTGGCTAGATTCGAGAGAGCTGTAACTAATGGCGTTCCGTTGGTGAAATTTGGTTGGATGATTTCATGGCGTATCTATTCTTGTTAGTTTATTTAATGTCGAGCTCAGTTAATTTTTAAAGTTATGTTTAAGTCTATTGCAGGCAATGGATAGTGGCTCGGATTGAAGAATCGGAGAGCAGAGTTCGAATTATAGTCGAATTCATTGCACTCAGTTACCTGCTAATAACCTGAGACAAATATGAATCCATCTGACCGTCACCGCAGCCACAATGGATAAACAGCAGACAGACAGGGCCCTATAGCCAACCAAGACAACCAATCTAGGAGGGCACATTGGTGGTGGTGGTGAAGGGAGGGCTAACCCTCATCAGGTGTATCTTAAGGCTCGCCAACTTAATCACTGATTGTTGATTAGGCCTCTTAGAAATTTTCACAATTTATACTTGAGACTTTTTGTAAGTATTGATGATTTATTATTGATTGGTTGGTTGATTTTCTTTAGCGGTATATCAATTTTTATTGATTATTTACTGCCGAAATCTAAATATTTGTATTTTTGTTTGGTTGATTTTATTTAACGGCATATCAACTTCTATGGGTTATTTAATGCCGAAATCTAAATATTTGGATTTTGGTTGGTTGATTTTGTTTAGCGGCATATCAATCTCTATGGGGTTTTTAAAGCCGAAATATACATATTTTGTACATCTTTGTATGCATTTAATGTAGAGTTAGTTGTTCTTGCTTTTTTGATATATAGTTTGTAGATCATAAAATGTATTGTTGGTAATTTTGCTATAAACATATATATTTTTTTTTTATTGTTGCATTGATTGTCATTTTGCTATAGAAATGTATTGTTGCTCATTTTATTGTAAAATATGTTTCTGTTTGGGTGGTGGTTACTATTTGCCTATAGATAGGACCCTAACAGGTACTACCACCCTGGGTCTGGGTGGACCTGGGAACACCAGGAAGTAAGAGGTAGTTCCATGCTCCTCAAAACCTCCTGTTCAGAGGTCTTCTAGTAGTTTATCGTCATACCCAGGACGAATTTTATAACTGAGTTTATTTGTCGTTGATAATTCACTCTGTGTATATTTACTTGGTTAGTGGATCGGTAAATATTGATGGTTTATACTTGAGTCTATAGGTAAATAATCGTAGATAATGCATTTTTTTCACCAGGTTTTAAAGATTTCAGAAACTTAGTTTCAGGTCCCATGAGACGAGGTTATGTAAAACTGCAATTTGGGTTATAGCCTTTTCTCTATATAGTTCGTTGCTGTAACATCAGAGTGAAAGCTTTTATATACAATTTATATAGTAGATATTGAATAGATGGAAATTAAGCCGCTGAAAAAAAGAAAAAAGAAAAAACAAATATTTTCTTCCTTTCTTTGATTAATGGAGAGACCCTTGCGTGTCAGGTGAAGAGGTTCTGGTAAACCAGCCAATTTCGGATAATTAGGTTGGGCATTAAATAATAAATTCTAATCCTGAGAACACTTGATCACTTCAAGTGACAACCACTTCGCGAACAACTTTTTAGTTCAGCTTTAAAGGGTATTTAAAAATTATACCCTCCTTTTTTTAATTGTATCTGTTCGTTTTTTTTTTTATGCTACACGCTTTTGTTTATATCTCTGTTTCTTTTTTATTTCTCTGTTGCGTTTTTATACGTTGTTTTTTTTTTTTTTTGGTTTTTTTTATTTATTTTTTTTTGTTTTTTTTTTTTTTTTATTTATTTATTTTTTTGTTTTATTTTTTCGATTCTTTTAATGTTCTCTGTTTTTTTTTCTAATTTTTGGTTTCTAGTTTTGTTACGTTATTTTTTTTTCTGTTTCTCCTGGATTTTTTAAATGTTTTTTGTTACGTTAATTTTTTTAAAACTTTTTTATTTTTTTTTTAAGTGTTTTTGCTTGTTTTATTTATTTTTTGTTTTTTTCTGTATTTTTTGTGTTTTTGTTTTATTTTCATTTTTTTTTTTACGTTTCTCTCTTTATTGTTTATTTTTTCTACTTTTATATTTGTTTGATTTTATTTTTGTTTCAGCTACCCAATTATTTACCGATTTCTTTTTTTATTTACAAGTTTCTGTTCCTTTTATTCATTTCTTTAATTTTGTACGCATTTTTTTTTTTTACCTTTTTTTTTATTTTGTTAATTGTTATTATTCTTATCTCCTTTAAATTTTGTTTTCTTGATTTTTTTCAATCGGTTTTTTTACGGTTTTCTTTCTTTGTACATTTCTCTGGCTTTTACGTAATTTTTCTTGTTACGTTTCCTTCTATTTTAAATTTCATTTTTGTTGTTTCTTCGCCTTTTTTTTTATATATTTCTCTATTAATTTATAATTATTTCACCCGAAGCAAGGCGGGAATGCCACTACTACGCAGCGGGTTACAGGGAGTGGAATGCAGAGAAGAGACTGAGAATAGAGAGGACAAAAGAAGAATGGTATTCTAGAAGATGGCGATTGACGTTACATTTAAATTTCTCAAGATTGTAGTTATCAGGGAAGCAAGAAAACGGAAGGGACTTCCATAGTGCGGGAAAACCGTTGGAGTAGAAATGGCGGTTGCATTCAGTTAATTCAACGGTAAATGGGTCGGACCTAGATGCCAAACTGGTAACACGTTTAATGTAGCCTGGTCAACGGGAAAATGTTTTTGCTGTTTGTATAATTTATTTTTATTCTGATTTCGTTTTTTTTTTTTGTGTGTCCGTTTGATTTTCTTTCTTTTTTTTTCAGGTTTCTTTACTTTCATTTGCTACACTTGGTTATTTCATATTTGTTTGTTGTTTCTCCGTTGTTTTTTATTGTTTGTGTTTTTCTTGTTTTCTTTTTTCATTATTATTTGCTTCACTTGGCTCTTTCATATTTGATTTTTGTTTTCCT